CTCTCTCTCTCTCTCTCTCTCTCTCTCTCTCTCTCTCTCTCTCTCTCTCTGCCTCTCTCTATTTCTCTTTGTGTGTCCCCCCTCCCCCCCTCCCTACATGTAACTCCTTGGCCTATCTCACCCAGCTCTAGGCTGATGCTTTCCTCGAACTCGGGGAACAACCACGTGTACTGGTACTCCGGGAACACGGCTCCTAGCAGACCGGCCAGAAAGCGCATACCCAGCAAGTCCTTGTGCACCTTCCCGCCAGAGTCCGGAGGGGGAGAGCGTAGCGAGACACCGTGAAAACGGAAAACAATGAGAAGAGGCGTTTTCAAGACGAATGCGCAAGTCGATTCGAGAGGGGCAAATGCCGCTTGATAAGAAAGCCAACCCAGGAGTTCCATGGAGAGAAGACCCCTGGAGGCAGGAAATCCCTCGGAAAAGGTTCGGGTGTACTACAAGACCTAAGACGGCGTCGAACAACAACAAAAACGACGACAACAACAACGATGACGTCATCATCATCATGATCATGATCATCATCATCATCATCATCAACAACAACAACAACAACAACGACAACAGCTACGAACCAGTACAAAATCAACAACACGCAAAGATCCTACTCTACCTGGCTTTCTAGCCCCGGGTACTGGAGCTTCACCGCCACCTCCTCGCCAGCCAATGTCACAGCACGATGCACCTGACACAAAAATACACACACACACAACATACACATGTGAAAAAAAAGGAAAAATGATGAACTCCTTCGAGCGGGCTTTCGTTGTGTGTTTCCTCCCGCTCTTACTTGCAGTACTGATGTCGCAAGGCGTGTGCCATTAGAGGCGAAAAACCAAGTACGTGTGGTCGAGATGGGTATATTCGCAGGGATGGTCAACGACTTGAAAGGAAAGAGACCCTGGTACATGAGTAAACTGTTGGATGTCCTAACTTTGTTGACCAATGCGCGGACATTGGAGCTGTCCACCTCTCTCCAAAATGAAAATAACAACAACGAAAAAGGAAAACCGCCGCTGGACCAAATCACACATCACTCCTACTACTACTACTACAACATGAACAACTACAACCACCACTGCTACTACATTTAGTGTATCTACAGTACAGATAACGCCCGCACTTAAGAACTTAGTAGCTTAAGAAATTGAGACTCGCAAAAAATCAGAAGCTAAGCACTTGAGCACCATTTGTGAGCTCGGTTAAGAACCCAACGCTAAAACCTATATAGCGGCCATTTGTAGCCCACAAGAGGATGATCAGCAAAAGAAGAGCCCAAGCCTCGGCCGAAACTATTTAGAGGTTCTTAAGTGCGGGCGCCATCTGAATGCACCTGCGCGAGGCTGGCGGCGGCGATAGCCTTCTCGTCGAACTCCCGAAACAACTCCGAGATCTCGGCCCCCAGCTCCCTCCTGACGGTCCTTGCCACCTCGCTCAATCCCACACTGACACACGCCGACAGACACAGAGAGCGGACAAGGCAATATGGCCACAGATGCCCGTGGTAAGAATGCTGTCGCGGGGTTTGCCGTGGAGAGCAGACCGGCGGATATAGAGAACGAAGCTTGACAACGTGCCGCCGCGCGTCAGGAAACAAGGATAGGATAGGTGAGCGTTGCGACTCCTCACGGCGATGCCTTGCTCTTTCCTATCACTGTTAAGCCCCTCTTCAGTGTTCTCCGTGGTATCCTTGGTATTTGCATCGCATCCACCCCTCGCGGCATCTTCCATCGCACGGTCTTTTGCCTCTTGATTCAAGACCTCCGAGCCGGGAGGAGGCCCGGCAGAAAAGAACCCCGCCACAGCAGTAGCAGAAACGCGGCATGACGCCCATTATTTTCATTGTCTTACGCACGGACTTGAGTTATATACCTTCGCGTGTGGGATGTGACGTCACGCAATCGGGTCGACCCAAGGTTGTGTCTGTTCGGCCTCGCCTGCGGCACAACTACCCTCCCGTGAATTACCGGTGCTTAGGAGCCAAATGGCACTGCAAAAAAGCAATGAGCGGAGACGACAGTTGTGATGCTCTATCGCTGCACATGACACACCCATGCACAACCACACAAAGAAAAATGCGCGACGNCCCCCCCCCCCCCCCGCCTCGAAAAAATCGAACGGCATCGCCGTGAGGACAAAAACGGGGACGAAGAAACGTTCCTGATCTCCCTCCAAAAACAAGAAATTTGTTCTGTTGCGGTGAGTCACCGGTCTTGAACGGTGAGTCACCGGTCTTCCTGAAGAGCACGCTCACATTGGAGGATCATGCCCAACTGTTCCTTCGCACTGTTCTGTGGATCCTTCCCGGTACGCACGCCTTTATATGCCATTGGATTGCGCGTGTTCCGAGACACTAAAAACACGGGTACATGTTTGCCTCGCTCTATTATTTACGGGTGTCCCACCTCGGGTTGCGATCCTGCAAGACCTTAAGAGTCTCCGTGAACTCCTTCGGCAGGACGTGGTTCATGGACGAGATATATTGCCCGAACTTCGTGTAAACGCCGCCGTGGATCGAGCAAACGTGGAGCAGGCGCTGGGCTGCCCGTAGGTTGACCTCCTTTCGTACAGCCTCGTATTCGTCGGATCCCCTCTCAAGGTTCCTTAGACTATTCTCGGATTTCGGTTGGGGGGGGGGGGAAGGTTACGCGTTCGTTCAGACGCTTAGTTTAAACATTAGGAGGGATTACGGACTTGCAAGAAAAATTAAAGCTGAGCGAGTGCCCCGCGGTTTTGAGCGCCCGGGGGGGCATGCATACATACAACGGCTGTGTAGTTCCTGCTAAGATCGATACACGAGCGTTTGCGTCTTCTAGCTACTGCAGAGAGCGCACCGCCGAAGCGTCGTGTGTTTCCTCATGTAGCACCGACCGCACTGCCTGTGAGACTGCCGCCAACGAGAAGGGGGCGTTCACGTTGTATGCGTTCGGAGGCGTGTTTGTCGGGGATGTACATCAGACATCCTCATTTGCAGACATCGTCCCTCGGCTGGGCGCCATCTACAACGATGGCAGTACCTTCTGCGGGATGGTTTTTGGTTGCATTGGAAGACAGTGGGAAAGAAAGCATTAACCAAGAGGAGGGAACAAAGGAAAGCAACAACACCCCGCATCTGTGGTCGGACAAAAGAGTTCCACACAGCAGAAGGTGAATTTATTCTAAACGAAGGGGTCAAAATCCCATTGGCGGCGTTGTTGGGCACGGTCGTGTTGCTTGATTCTTGCTTTCGACCTTTTTTGTTTCGCCTTCGTTTGCTGCGTATTGGCGAGGCCATAGCCTTGACCCTACGTAGGCATGTCCACTCCTGATGGGCCACGAGGTCGCAGCGACTCTGCCTCCTCGAGCCCTGTCCCTTTGTCGCAGTCCGCCGCTCTTGATGATTCGTATGTTTTGCGTCGATCGCGCCTTGTGGACGGTTCACCGAAACTGATATGTTGAATGCCCTTGGACCTTACTGTACGGTTAGTGAGCGGTCCTCGCGTCAAAACATGTCCCAGAGGACCGGCGAGCGAGTGGCTCGTCAAACGATACCCCGAAGGGTTGGCGAGATACGTGTGTACCTACATAAGCAGCTCCGACATCCCGTTGCATGCACCAAAACGACTGTCGTACACACATTTACATGATGCCTGAGGCCTGAGGTATAGAGGTATACTGCGCAAAGGACTCGGGAGAGAAAATTATGCACTTATCGGCCGTGAAGACGAGAAAGAGGCTTTGTTAGCACCCACAGGTATCGGTATCCCTGTACAAGAGCAATACTGCTGTAGCAACGGGGGGTGTGGTTTGGTACACATTCCTACCAGAGAGAGAGCGCTCAGAACACGGCCATAACAGCTGCACTCGTGCACACAAGTATTCTTCTCTTCCCTACGGGACCGGTAACTCGACATGTCGCCCACCACGCGCATTCCCTACCAGTTCAACACTCATGCCGTGCCACCACTACACTCAACCCTCATCGCCGGTCCATGCCCCTGCAACTCGCACTGCTTGCACTGACCGGTACTTGTAGTCCAAGCTGACGGCCGCTCCATACCCGAAGGCGCGGCCGAAGCGAATTGCGCCATTTGCGGCTCCTGTAAAGGCGTCCCGTCGATCTCGGTCCGTTAAGGCAACGCCAGTCGCTGCTGCACTCGCCACCGCCACGCGCCTCGCCACCGAAACAGACATGCTGTACTGATGTGTTCTGCTGCCGCTGAGTCGTCGTCCGAAGATGGGGGTACCAGGACTGGAAACAAAGGATACCGCTCTTGGGGTACTCGTAGGTACAATCACGGTGCCCCCATTTCTCGCTGCACGACAAGGAGAACAGCACCTGCCACGTGCACCTCAGCAGGACCAGCTGGGCAGGATAGTTCGCACGCACCGCGATTATCTGTCCACGATTGAGTTCTCGAATCGAGTGCGTGTTCCTGCTGAATTTCTTCCTGTAGACCCCACCCTGGTACAGGCACGCGGAGGAGCGCCCGCTGCTAGGGATCGCGGAGCAGCAGGTACGGCAGCAACCGGAATTGTACATCAACCGCTGCTGCTCCACTCGTGAGAAGCGAGGGCATCGGACTGCTGCTGCCCAAGGAGGCTAAACACGCAAGGGTCTGCGGTGGAAGAGGGAACAGGAATTGCTCTCCCGGACAGCAGTTGCAAGGCTTGGTGCCGATAGACCCAGATCAGCAGCGTCGTCGTGTCATGTCGGAGGTCAGGCTTTCGACGGTGATCCTGGTGTGCGCCGGTTTCGGCGTGCTTGCGTTCGTCTCGGGCTCCGCCGAGAACATCTGGCGGAAGGTCAAGCTGGCCGGCATTGGCGCAGTCCACATGCTGCTGTCAAAGGACAAGAAGTTCAAGCCCGAGGTGTGCCTCTAGAGGAGTTTTGAAAGACATACGTTTGCAGCATCTTTGAGGGTGCGAGAGACAGCAGTGGTCTGCTGTCATGAAGAGCTGTAAAACAGCAGCTCTCGGTAGGACTGCCGGTGGTGAGGGCCAATACCGTACCGTTTCCCGTACCGGTCGCGACGGTTGTGTTGGTTGCGCTTATCGTGGGACTTCGGTAGTCACGGGATATATCACGTACACACAGTTGCAGCGGTAGGCTGACAACCCTGGTTTTGCTTGTTTTCCATCGGTTTCGGATACGCGGGCCCATCAAGCCTCCCAAGCGGGAGCAAATTCCCTGCGGTAGGCTGACAGACAGTGGCCAGCGCCAATTTCCAACCCCACGACTCCAACCACCTTCCTGGCCGCCACCTTCGTCTTCTTTCGTTCTCAGTTCACGTAGTTGATGCAGAACAAAAAGGTGCTGCGGTGGATCTCCTGATGGCGTGTCTTATGTTGGTCATTTCGCCCCCCCCCCCCCCCCCCCCCCCC